GGCTTCTGTGGGTGCTCCCCCCCGATTCAGGAGGCACTAGTCACTCATGTTGGAGCCCATGTATAAATTGCATGGGCTGTATGTTGGCCCCAACCCTCTTCAGTATGACATTCTCTGCCATGCTTACACATGCCTTTCATGACTGATGCTGGGATTGACATCTGTTACTGGACTGATGCAAAACTGTTCCATTTGAGGAGCCTGCAGGTGAAGATTACAGGAAGTGACTATCTGTGATCTTCTATTGGCTGATAACCAGGAATCCTGGTTTTCTCTGTTTAAAAAATTGCAAATTCTCTTATTTAATTTTTTTTTTAATTCTCTGACTAAAAACCCCAACATCTGGGTTTTTCTGTGATTAAAATGAAACACCACTATATCTCTATTGGTATCGATATTGATATAGATGGGTGTATGTATCAGTTGAACACAATGTTTTATTGATATTTACAATTTTAAAGAAATTTCAAAATCTACCAGTGCCTCAATCACTATAATAAAATAAATTCTAAATACCTATAAATGTTGATGTTTTGATTTTGGGTTTTTTACCATGGAAAATCAGTTTCCCCTGCTCCCTTCTCTCACCAGGACACAGGTCCAGCTGCAGCGCCCCATCCCCCGCACCCCACTGATTTGTGGCACTGAGCAGCCCTGATATGCTGGTGCCCTGCCATGCCATTGCCCCTCATTCCTCACCCACAGCCCCCTGGGTCCTGCCAGTGCTCCTTGCCCCCTACCTGGGCAAGGAGCACTGGCGGGATGGGGCTCTCAGCTGCCAGGGCTGCGGGGCCAGGGACCTGGGTCCGCAGCCCCCTGCCTCCCCTGCAACACCTGAGCCCTGGCTGCTGCCCATGGGAGGCAGTGGCTGCTGTGGTGGAGCAGAGTATGGAGCCTGGGTCCCCCTCCGCCATGGGTGGCAAAGCCGGAGTGGAGCCTGTAGGGAGAAGAGCAGATTCGGGCTCCCCTGCAGTGTCCAGCGGGTGCGACCTACTACAGCAGGGCAGAGCAGGGCTGGGTGGGAAGGCTTGGTGCCACTGCTGGGAGCCCCACACCACCTTGGCAAGGTGCCACCTGCCCATCCGGCAGCAGTGAGGGGCACAACTGCGCTGTCACCCCTGCTGCTGCTGGGTGGGCGGGGGGCATTTTGCCATTGCAGTGTGGGACTCATGGCAGTGGCACCAAGCTTTCCCCACCCTGTTCTCGGACCTGCCTGCTGGGCCATGGAGGCCCCTAGGAGCAAGGCAGGGAGCCCAAGCTTGTAGCAGCTAGTCCACACCCACCCCTGTGTCGCACACAAATCTGGGGGGCATGTGTCCCCCTATGCCCCTCCCAGGAGTGCACGCAGTGGTGGAGAGCCAGCCCTCCCGCTGTCCCCTGGATGAACCACCTGAGGCCCTGCCCCACTCCCCACCCAGGCTCTAGCCACACATTCTGGCACTGGGCCCCAAGCCTCGTGTACTGCCCGGGCTCAGCCCCAGCCCTGCCTAACTCCCTCCCTCCTTTGGTCCCTATGGGGGCCTCAATCACTGCTCCCCCACCCTCTGCCCCCCCTCCAAACTGCTTTCTAGGCTGCCTGGTGGCCATGTGCATGTGTACGTGTGCACGTGCACATGACACCCCCGGCCTGATGGCCCTTCTCTTGCTTCCCCCAGGAGTGCATCATTTCTCATGTTTTTCTGGGAAACCCACTATTACCCATGTTTTTCTCCTTTAAAAGAGAAAATCTAGGTCATTCTCAAAATGAGAGAGTCTGGGTTTCACTGCATTTTTCTGTGGGAAATGGAAAACCTGGATCCATGCTGGTGACTGGTCCCTGAATGCCAAATCTGAGTCTGATATGCAATGGAGTATGGACCATTTCTCTTCTGCTTGTGACATCTTTGGTCTCACAGTCAACACTAAGAAGACAGAAGTGATGCACCAGCCTGCACCAGGAAAGCCTTACATAGAGCCTACCATCACAGCGAATGGTCAAATCCTCCAAGGCAGTGGACAAGTTAATCTATCTCAGCAGTACACTGTCATGTGCAGTTCACATCGATGATGAACGCAGAATTGCTAAAGCAAGCATGGCCTTCGGCAGACTACGTGCAAATGTATGGGAGCATGGAGGCATCAATCAACAAACAAAACTGAAGGTCTACAAAGCCATTGTGTGGAAAAGCCTGATGTGTGCATGCGAAACCTGACTGCGTGCAGACGCCATGCTATGAAGCTGAACCA